CCCCCAGAATCCCCCCCAGGCTAATCGCCTTTCTTCCTTCTCTCTTTCTTCTCATCCTGCAGGAGAAGGCGAAATCCGAGGGGCTCTGGAATCTTTTCTTGCCCTTGGAGAGAGATCCAGAGGCGAAATACGGGGCAGGCTTGACCAATGTGGAATTTGCCCACTTATGTGAACTGATGGGGACTTCAGTCTATGCCCCTGAGGTACCCGATGGGGACAAGCTCGGGCAGAAGGCCACGTCCTCCTTGTGCCTCCTCCATCCCTCCAGACCCCAAAAGCCACAGATCAGACCCCAAAGCACTGCCGGCCTCCCTGGTGCAGCCACGCTTGGTCTGCTGCTGCTCTGTCCCTCTCCATCCCCCTCTCGGTCATCTTCCTTCCTGAAAACGGTTAAGGGCCGTCTCTGCTCCCACTGAAGCATTACATAGCCTGTCTTCCCACTTCCAGGGAATGGTTCACACTCTCTTTGACCACCCCACCTCAGATAATCATGGTTGCCTTCTCCAGGTCTTCAATTGCTCTGCCCCAGACACTGGCAACATGGAAGTGTTGGTACGCTACGGCACAGATGCCCAGAAGGAACGCTGGCTGCTGCCTTTGCTGGAAGGCAAGATCCGCTCCTGCTTTGCTATGACCGAACCCCAGGTCAGTGTCCATCTCCCTCCCCCGATGTTTTCTTCCTCGCTGGATATGAGGAGGAATCTCTGGTCTGGTCCAGGACAGACACGGAGGGGCTGGCGTACTTCCCTCTCCAAGGAAGTCTGTCTTTTCTTAGGTTGCTTCCTCCGATGCCACCAACATTGAGGCTTCGGTCACCAAAGAACAAGACACCTACGTTCTGAACGGGCACAAATGGTGGATTTCAGGTATGTTCTGATGCGCCCCTGGGTTTCGGTATTCTTTCCAGAGTTTCAACGCTACGAAGTGCAGAATAAATAAAAAAGGAGAGCTTCCTTGTGTCTGTGATGGGCAGTCACAGAGGATCCCCTGGAGCCTGCAGAAAGCAAAGGGGAGGATCTTCCCTGGGGATCAAAGCTTTGTGCACATTTGGTCCTGGTCCAAATCAACAGCCTGTTCAATCACCAGTAAGCTTTCACTGTTCAACAGCGGAGAAGACAAGAGAGGTGGATTCAGGAGTATCTTTTCCCAGCCTAGAAAGCCTCTCCTTCCGCCAGGTTCCCTGGACCCTCGTTGCCAGCTCTGCATCTTTATGGGCAAGACCAACCCTGAAGCCCAGAAGCACAAGCAACAGTCAATGCTGCTGGTTCCCATGGACTCCCCTGGCCTCACCGTCACCCGGCCGCTCAGCGTGTTCGGCTTGGAAGACGCCCCAGGTGAAGCCGAGGGTCCTCTCTGGTTTAGCCGGGGAGGCTTCACTCCGAGTCTCTGAGCTGTCCAGTGATTTTGTGGGATGGGTTTCCGTTAGCCCTTAACCCCTCTGCGGTCAGTTCAGACAAAACCTCCCGGGGAGGCTCTGAGTTTTGTGATTGTGTCCTCTAGCAGCCTGGGTATAAAATGGACCTTTCTCACAGCCGTCTCCTTTCCAGCTGGGCACGGGCAGATGACCTTTGAAAATGTCTGCGTTCCCCAAGAGAACCTCCTGCTCGGTCCTGGCCGTGGGTTCGAAATTGCCCAGGGGCGGCTGGGCCCTGGAAGGATCCACCACTGCATGAGGCTGGTCGGCCTGGCAGAAAGAGCGCTAGCCCTCATGAAGGAGCGGGTGAGCAGCTCTACAAAGGCAGCTTGGCATCCCTTGGACCAGCTATTCCCTCTGCCTGTTTGCTCGCTCTTATTCAGCGGGAATATTCTTGGGAAGGGGATAAAAAGCTTTGTGGAGTCACTTATTTGGGGCAACCCCTTCCTCCTGATGCCTTGATTGGCAGGTGACCACCCGCGTGGCCTTTGGCAAGCCGCTAGTGGAGCAGGGCACCATCAGGGCGGATCTGGCCGAGTCCCGCCTTGAGATCGAGCAGGCCCGGCTCCTTGTCCTCAAGGCGGCCCATCTCATGGACACTGTGGGAAATAAGGTGAGCAGGGGAGACTTCCCCAGATGGGAACGCCGTGAACCCCAAGCTCTCCTTTCGGCTCCTCCCTCCCCTCAAGTGAAGGTGCTGCTGTTCATGCACTGGGAAGGGGAGGGGGTTCTGCTGAAAGGCACGGTGGCCAGTGGGATGCGTTCTCCTGGCGCATGTGGAAAGCCTCCAGAAGGGGCTTCTTGCCACTGCGTTGTTCTGTCTCCATGCATCTAGGAAGCCGCTCTGGAGATTGCCTTGATCAAAGTCGTGGCTCCGAGGATGGCGCTCCGGGTCATTGACCGGGCTATCCAGGTAAGAGCCAGGTTGGCCACCCCTGATTTAGGGATTCCCTCTGGGGGATTTCACCCACCCTGCAAATACTTGCAAATACTTTTAACGCTTTCTCTTGGCTTTCTCCCTTTCCCACAGGCCTTTGGCGCAGCAGGCCTCTGCAGCGACCTGCCCCTGGCCCAGGCCTTTGCTTGGGCACGGGTCCTGCGCTTGGCTGACGGCCCTGATGAAGTCCACAAGGCGGCCATTGCGAAAATGGAACTGAAAGGCTAACCGGGGCTGAGTGGAGTCTGAGGGGACGTGCAGGCCACGTTTTTAAGGAGCAGAGGCCACGTTTTCCAGCAAGGCTTATTGGCTTCTGGAGTTTATACTCTAGAAGAGCATGGAAGAATTATGTAATTGCTCCCCTTGACTGTTTCTTGATTCTGCTGGCTGCTACTCCAGATTTTGAGCACCAGGAAGTGCTTGGTTGATCTCAGGCCCTTGGCTGGTTTTGGCTTCTCTTTGGGAAGATGGTGAGGAGAGAGAAGATGGGGACAATCTTCCGATGGTTTCTTACAGAGAGATGCCTTCGTAGTCCATTCATGTGAGGACTGCGATTTGGGGGTGATTTGATATTTTTGATAATGCAGGGGGTGAAATCATGGGGGAAAAAACCACTGTGAAAGGTTCTACAGAATGTAGCATTAGAAAAATCAGCAATAAATGTACTGTTTGCTTTTCTTTGTCGCAAGCTTGCTTTGTTTTATCTGGAAACTGATAAAGGGGGCAAAGGGAGGGACAGCCACTCATGACTGGGAAACAGATTTTTCTTGTTCTATGCAGAGAAGAACTAAAAGCTACTTCAAGGTCTCTTTGACATGTTGCCTAGTTAGTTCACACTGGAGCTAGACACGCACTGCAGTTGTTAATCCAAATGCTGGATTCAAAACCCTAGTCCTCCAAGAATCTGAAACGAAGAGAAGCCTACATGTTTTATTTGGGGGAAGCAGATTTTGGGTTTCCTCCTCTGCGTGTATATTCAGATGCTTTCCTCGAAGGAAACTGGAGTGGAAAAAGGCAAAGAAATCCTCCTTTGATTGGGGATTAATTAAGCCACGAAGCCCCAGAGAAAGAGGAGTGCAATGGAGGGCCGGGGATGGGGCTTAAGCCCCCCACTCTTCCCTTTCAGGCCTGGCACGGAAGGGAACCCCAGAAGGCGGCAGCTCTCGGGAGAGGGCGGAATTCACGGGCAAGCGCCTCTTCTCGGCGTAACGTGTGAACGGAGCAGAACAGCAACCCGGAGGGGGGGCGGGTCGGGCGAGAGGCCCTTGGCCCGCCTGGCCCGGCTGCTATTGGCTGGCGGGAGGCGGGGGGCCGGGCCTGAACCGGGCCCCTCCCCGGCCAAAAAAGGGGTGAAAAGGCAGCGGCGGAGGGCCTCCCTCCCTCCCTCCCTCCGCCCGAGAGAATGCTGCGCCTGGCCCTGGCCCCGCGGAGCCCTGCCCGACTGCGCCCCGGGGCGCTGCTCCGCCTGGCCTGCCGGCCCCTGGCCACCGCCGCCCTGCCCGCGCCCAACCCGCAGCCGGAGATCGCCTACACCAAGGTGAGGGGGCGCCGGGGACCCCGCCCGCCTTCCCGCAGGGGGACCCGCCAGGCGCCAGCATGTGCAGAAGGCCCCGCTTGCCAGACCCCCCCCCGGCTCTCCTCCTCCTCCTCCCCCCCCACGCCCCCTGGCCATCGGGGGGCAGGAGGGGGCGCGGCGGCCCGGGAAGGGGCTCGCCCCGGGGTGCTCCCGGGAAGATGGGCCGGGGAGGGGTCCGCCTTCTCCCGCGGGCCCTTGCCTGGACCCGCAGCTTCCTCATCGCGGGGGTCTCGCCCAGCAGAGGCGAGCCGAACCGATGCAGACGTTACCCGACGGTTCTTAACCAGCATGACGCCCCGTGTTAGCCTGTTGCAAAACGCGGGCCGGACCAGCGCAAAGTCGCTGTGGCAAAGGCCACAATTCGCTCTCTGGGTTGTGCAACGACTTGTGTGGTTACCGTTAAATTCTAATTGGCTCTACACAGTTGGGTCTCTCCTCCGACTTTGCCTTCCTCCGTCCCTTGTCGCCCTGATTCCTAACAGAGGCCTCCCGGTGCTATTGGTGGATCTCTCGATTGCTGGGTTAATCTTCCCTAAATTTGCCCTTTGGGGGGAACTGGGAGAGAGTCCAGCATCTCGCCCGGGAACTGTAGGATCTAGGTTCACTATGCAAAATATTTCTCGGTTTTTAAATCACTGCAAGCAGCAGCCAGTTTTTATGGCTTCCTGGAGATCATGAATTCACAGGTGTGCTGCATCCACTGGGTGTGCAGGTTTTGCGCAATAATCTTGCGTTTATTGATTGTCAAAGCAAAGTATTGCCCGTTGTTCCACAAACAATAACTGAAAGTAGAGGATTGCCGATTCCTCTGGGCAGGCTCTCAAAGGCTGACAGGTCTTTGTTCTGAATTGCAGATTTTCATCAACAACGAGTGGCAGGATGCGGTCAGCAAGAAAACCTTCCCCACCGTCAACCCATCCACAGGGGAGGTCATCTGCCAGGTTGCGGAGGGCGACAAGGTAGTACAATTCCTTCGCGAGAGAACGCGGTGCCGTCTGCAGGTTTTAGTTTTCAAAACTTAAGTAGGCAGTTAAATCACATCTTCCTCTGCTTAAATTCTTTGCTATCTTGACAGGCACAACCTATTAAGCTGCGGTGAGAATCACACGACAATAAATTTCTAAATCATTTTTAGTTTTCTCGAAAAAGGCTACTTAGTTTTTAAGAAAGTGTCCAGGCTGTGTCTGAGGAGGTGTTGCGACATAAAACGTGCCTGGCAATTGGCTCTTGCCAAAGGCTGTGGAGCAATCCATCCCCAGTTTGCCTTAAGGCAGGCAGCCCAAAGCATGTAAACATTCCTCAATCCAGCCAAGCAGCAGGCTTTACAAGGCTACAGTTTGGCAGCCAAACAGGCCTGGTTTTATTGTTTCGTAAGCTACGATAGGGGAAGCTGAAGCAGCAATACTTCAGTAGCCAACAGGAATGACACAGCAGAAATTGCACAGAACATCAGAAGTAATTCGCTGCAGGATCTGAGGGGGGGGCGAGGAATAATTCGCTAGTGGAGATTAGAAATATGAAACGGTGGAAAGGGCATTCTTAGAAGAAATGTGTAGGGAAAAAAGTAAGCAGGTTGATATTTAACTTTCTGTACTCCACCAGCCAGCTGTAATGTGGATCTGTGTATTCAGTACTGGCCGTATAGAGTAGTGTTGCAAATGCAGACAAGCCATCAGCAAAACGTGGCCCAGATTAAAGCATCTCTTCCGTTCCATGATCAGACGTTTTGGGGCAGGGTTTGTTTGATTAGACCAGGGGTCCCCAACCTTGGCCACTTTAAGACCTGTGGAATTCCTCAGCCAGCATTGGGAGTTGAGGTCCATAAGTCTTAAAAGTGGCCAAGGTTGGAGACCCCCATTTTAGACCATTCTGGGTTTGGTCTGCAGCTTTGGTGTCTTTTTTGACCCTCTGACCTGCTCGCAGTGCAGCCGTCCTGGCTGCCATGTTTCTCCGCTGACGCTAGCCTCCCTGGGTTCTTTCCAGGCCGATGTGGACAAGGCAGTCAAGGCAGCCAAAGAGGCCTTCAAGTTTGGGTCTCCTTGGAGAAGGATGGACGCCTCTCAGAGGGGCAGGCTGCTGAACCGACTGGCTGACCTGATTGAAAGAGACCGGACCTATTTGGCCGTATGTATGGGGCGGTTGGGGAGAGGAGTCTTTTTGGGCAAGCTCTGCTCTCTTCTCAGAATCCTCCTGCAGAATCTGGATCTATCAGAACCTGGCTTCATATTTCTTCCTAGGCTTTGGAAACGTTGGACAATGGCAAGCCATACGCAATCTCCTACCTGGTAGACTTAGACATGGTTATCAAGAAATTCCGGTAAGAATTAATAAATAGATTCTCAACTGTTGCCAAGCACAACTTAGGATGGATCTTTTGCAGTTGCAACTGTTGCAGGTTGGGGTTTTTGTTTTGGGCAGGAATTGTCATTTTATGAAATGCAAACATTCTGTTGTTATTTTCCAGCAGTTAATAATGCAAGATGTTTTTTCACTCAATTAAACCTGGAAGGAATTTTTCTTTCCTGCAGAACTAGAACCGGGAAACTAATCACCTGAGTTGTTCAGCCCTGTGCACAATTCCCTTAGCCTATTTGGAAAAGAGTATCTGAAAGGATTAAAATAAAACTTGAAGGCTTTCCTGAACTTGGTAGAGGCAGCTGTTTTCTTTCCTCTTCAAAAACTCAGCATAAAGAAACAATGAGCAAGAATTGGATGGCATAGGCTATACATAGTACATAGTAGCTATGTATCAAATAATATTTGCATTTGTAACACTTTTAGAATATTTGCTTGCATAATAACACCTTTGCAATGATCCTTCTGCAAACTGCTCTTTTACATATTTATGTTGTCCTGTGAATTAGAATTGAAATGGGTTGGGTGATAAGTACCAAATTTATAAACTCCAGTTGCAAATCAAGCAAAGTCACAACTGCCTTGTATCCTCGCTTCCAATCCTGTTTCAAAATAATGCCAGGAGTAAATTTTCATCAACAATTTCCGCAAATTTGTATTGGAACTCTTGTGATTCCAGGGACACCTATAATGTTTAATGCCTTTGCTACAGGTATTATGCAGGCTGGGCTGACAAGTTGCACGGGAAAACCATTCCCCTGGATGGAGATTTTTTCACTTACACAAGACATGAGCCTGTGGGCGTTTGTGGACAGATCATTCCGGTAAGTCAAGCTGATCCACTAGTCCTCTGTGTTATGGTGGTAGAAACGTCATCATTGGATGGAATAGAAGTAAAAAAGATGTGTTGTTAGTATCGTCCTCTTCTCTGACCTATACAAGCCTTGTTTAGGTAACCCAGATTTAAAAAAGAATCCTGGGCTAATGTTTCTTTTCCTAATATTTCTCCCAAATATGTTGGCTTCCCAACTGTGATCGCCATCAGCCTGAAACAAGATATGCTATATTTGAGGATGGAGGCATTTAACCCACAAAGACAACTCTCAATTAGAGACAAATGCTCTAGATTTTCTCTAGAACTCTACTTAACAGATGCCTACTTTACACTGAAGTATTTCCACTGGCCCGTGCTATTATTTGATTGCCAATTGATAGCTGCGTTCCTTTTGGGATTATAGTCTTACAGACCTTCTGATTTCCAGGGAGGGGAAGAGAAGGGAAGCCCAGTTCTGTCAGAAATGAATTCTGCAATCCAACACAACGTTAACAACGAATGTACCAGACTTAAGATCTTTGAGTATCTGCGCATTTCTTTTGCTTGCAGTGGAACTTCCCGTTGCTGATGCAGTCGTGGAAGCTCGGTCCCGCTCTGGCCACAGGGAACGTGGTGGTGATGAAACTGGCCGAACAGACTCCCTTGACTGGCTTGTACGTTGCCAGCCTGATCAAAGAGGTGAGAGAGCCATCCAGGGGCTCCTGCGCTCACCTGCTTGCCCCACTTGGATTGGGGGGGGGCAGATTTCTAGCTGTCACTGAGGCCTCCACATTTTGTATTTGGCCAGGTGACCTATCAGTAAATCTTGATCTGTCCACTTAGGAAATGTTCTTCTCTTGTGTCTTAACAGGCTGGATTCCCACCAGGCGTGGTGAACATTATTCCTGGTTATGGCCCTACG